CTTGGTCTGTAGCATCTACTTTTTTTATTCCTTTTTTGGAATCTGATGTGACTGAGTAATTGCTGAATAAATTAGCCTTCAGACATTTTCAAAAAGAATAGCATGGAAGTAGAGTGGTGAACAATCTTAATAGCACTCCAAATCTCCAACTATTATTAGATCGTGGATGGAAGGAAGTTTTGCAATTGGCGAATGTGAAACAATTGACTAATGTAATAAAGAACTATAGTCAACAAACCGCTGACTTGGGCGGTCAAATCATTCAAATCATCCAGCATTTTTTGGTTGTTTTTAATAGTTTTTAATTTTTTATCAGAACAGACCGTCCATTCGATTCGAATGATCATACCGTCCGACCCAAAAACCAGATCTTGAACGGTTCATTGTCGGTTCAATTTTAAAAACCTTGACCTCATGTATTAGTTTATAAAACATGTAAAAGGACAAAAAACATTTATATTAACAGCAACCCAGGGGGATATGTGTATTCAAACTTGTATTTGTATGCCTTATTAATCAAGTAGTTTGGCATAAAAAATAAATAAAAACTAAATAAAATGATAAATTGACTGCACTCCACCTCAGATAAATTGACTGCACTCAAAAGAATCAAAAAAATCTGTTACCGACAAGACACTACAGTCTGAGATGATCTTGACATATGTTTGCAGGTGTCTTGTGGGAGGCTTGCGGGTAGCGTTATGGTGACATATCTAGACTCTTTGACTCCGAAGTCTAAACGCATCCAATGTTGTATTGGGTTGATAAAGTAATCAAGGCTTTAACCAATGTTGGATAGTCCCTTACCCCAGCCTCACCCCTAATAAGTTCCAGTCTTTTGAAAGAAGAATTCAGCAGCAAAGTTTGATGGCTCAAGGTAGGGGTGTTCACGGTTTGGTTAACTGAATTGTAGGCTTATTTTTGGAACTGAATTGGTATTATTGGTTTTTGCAAGTTAGTAATTGAAATTGAACCAAAGCCGATCAGTTAACTAGTTGATTGATTTGATTCATTGATTTTTTGTTTTTTTTTTTATATTTATAATATATTATAAAAAATATATAAAGATATAATAAAAATCAGAAATATATATAAAATATTATAAATAATAAATATATTAAATATTAAATATTATAAATATATATATATATATATAATGTGCATAAATATACCTAAAATATATAAAAATATATGTATATCGGTTGGTTCGGTTAACTTTCAGTTTTCTATATTGGTTAACCAAAACCAAATTGGAACCTTTAGTTTTTTAAAAATACCGAATCAATTGGTTCGGTTAACCAGATTTTTAGTTTGGTTTTGGTCGGTTTTCCAGTTTGATTCAATTTTTTGGTTTTTCTTGCTCACCCCTACCTCAAGATAATGCAATATTTCTTCTTCATCTACCACACAAATTCCAAACTTTGCTTGTTCTTGCCCACATTGAAATATTAGGAATGGCAATGGGGCAAGGTGTGGCCAGGTTTCGTATGTCCTATCTTTGACTCCCAACCCTATCAGGCCTAGAAATCTTAACCCCATCCCCTTTCCCATGGGAATGGGAATCCCTGAATTTGCCCAGCCATGCCTTGTCATTCTTGCTTACATACTTATAAATATATTTATTTATTTGAGACACATCTAAAATTTTGTATTATATAATATAATACACTTAACCCCAATCAGTATAAAAAAAGGGATAAGTGAACTGCAATCCACCTCAGAAATCTGAAATTGCAGCCCCCTCCTAATCTATTAGTAGTCCTCCCCTATAAATTGCATCCTGCCTGTGGATTTGGCATCAATCCACGGTCAGGATTCAGTCCACCCCTAGAAATCTTATCTCCACCCAAGGGGTGGACTGAACTATAAAAACCCCTAAAGAAACCCACCCCTAGGATGGGATGAGGCCCCCAAAGGAATGGGTCAAATTGCCATCCCTAACTAAGGGCCCGTTTGGTTCACAGGAAAAGGGTATGGAATTGGCCGATTCCAACTGCTTGGTTGGGTGGAATCGGAATCCCATTCCCATTGCTGCTGGAATGACATTCCCCCATTTGAGGAAATGGTCATTCCCTGCCCCTCCCTTGAGAGCGAAATTCCATTCTTGCTGATTTTAATTCTCATTCCCATTCCTATCTGAACCTAACAGACTATAGGAATGAACCATTTTGATTCTGACTACAAACCAAACAGACCTTTAGAACATACATAAAGTCCACAAAAGTATAACTCCGCATTTTTACAGCAACGAGAGAAATCCAATGCCTTTTGAGAATAGGGAACTCTTTCCACTATATTCTGATATTCAAGTCATTTGACTCAGGCGAACACATCACATGGAAGGTATAAGAAGTTTTTCCACAATCCAAAATCAACTCCCCTTTTAACCTTTTTCAAATACACTTCAAGGCAATTGGAGTTGAACCAACTTGCCTCAACTACCTTATTAAAATTATTAGAGATCAAAATCAATAAGTTTCAACTTTTCTATCAAAAATTACATGGGCATGTAGCTCAAATGGTAGAGCGCTCGCTTAGCATGCGAGAGGTATAGGGATTGATATCCCGCATCTCTATTTTTATAAAATTTTAAGGTGCCGAGTAAAATTTAGGGTTTAAAAAATGGGTTTAGAGTTGATTAAGTGTATTAAGATATAAATTTGATGTTTCTATCATAAATGTTAACACCAATCCCATGCATAAGTGTTATCTGATGTGATATGATAAGATAATTTCTCAAAAATTTATATCGATAAATCCCAAAGGTTTCTAGTATAAGTAGCAATGGTACCAAACAAAACCATTATATTCCATATATGTGGTCTACAGTACTTTTATAAGCTAAGGCATGCAACAAACATATGTGAATACTTAGAATTGCTCAAAAGTTTAAACCATTTAATTCATGAAATTAAGGCTTAGGGCATGTTCCTTTCCACTTTAACTCTAATCTCTTAGGCTCCATTTGAAAAGAGTACAAATACAGAAATGTAGAGCACAAAACCTTTTTATTTTGTATTATTTTGTATATATTTGTATTTGTACTCTTTCCAAACTAAGCCTTAAGAGAAAAATGGGTGTTTCATTTTTCTTATCTTTTACCTTTAAAGAGAAATCTCCAAATTGAGCCTAAACATTTAATTTAGAGATTCCAATTATGCCTTTATAGTTTCAAATGATGTTTCGTAGGTTCTAATAAAGTTGATAAAGGACACATGTGAATCGCACTCTTCTCGATCATTTACTGAACCATTGGAAAGTGCTCACGGTGAAATATTAATGCATATGTTAAGCTAAAATAAACTAATGTAAGAAGACTTGTGGCTGACTGGCATGCTAATTCCATTTTGTATAAAATAATTACTAACCCTATAAGTTATGCAGTTAAGTCCTAGTTTGGGAGTATAAATATAAATACATTCAAAATAATACAAATTAGATGGTTTTGCACTCTATATATTTGCATTCACACTCCTTCCGAGCCTAAGGTCATGTTTGATTGCAGTGCAATTTTATTTGCACTAGTACAAAGGCATAGAAGTGTAAAGTTCACCTCACACGGTCACACCAACCTCATATCGCTTTCATCCATGCACTGGGAACATCTCTCATACTTGTATGTTATCGTTCATGGGAGATGCTCCCAATGCACGATTGCAATGTGCTGTGATATCGGTGTGAGGCGTTTTCTATGAGGAGAAAATCCAATCTCGGCACAACCAAGCCCATGATCATCCAACCCAATAAGGAACTGGGTCAATCTTAATCAGGTTTTGGGTTGAGGTGAAACTCTCCTAATCGAACCAATTGGCATTGCATATTTTGTATTGTTATGGATGCAAGTCAGGCGGGTTGGACTGGCTTTAAAACTGAACCTGTGGTCAAGCTTGAAAGCTGAACTGTCCAACCAATGCCTAATCAGAATTGAAATTTAATGCATTTGGGTTGGGGTCAAGCCTAGGCCGGGCTCAAGTAGGTCAATCAGTCCAATCTAAAATTCAAAATAAAATAATAAATATAGGCAGGTATCCATGATTTATCCAAAATTAGCATGCAAATATGCCTGTATGCATACAAATATGTATTTATAGATGCATATATGTATATGTATGTACGTCGTCAGATTGAACTTGGGTTAGGATAAGGTAGGGTCAAACTTGGATGAGTTCAGGCTATCTGAAGATTAGGCCCAGGCCCGACAAAAAAAAAAAAACTAAAAATAAAGCTCAAAATTTTAGACTCTTTCCAGCCCGAAGAACAAAAAACCAAGCCTAATCCGTATAAAACTGTACACTGGGTCTAGCCGGGCACGAATTGGGCCGCCCAAATTGAACCGCTATGTATTGTAGAGGTGTGTTATACATGTGGGATGGATCAGCTCGGGTCCGTCGGTTTGGGTTGATGTTCACCATCCGACTTGGCCACTTCAATGAACATCATCCTCTCTACTCTAAATCATACGATTGGATGTCTAGATATTCCTTGATTTATGTTACCACCTTGTATAAACTAACCACTAATGATCTGACCGTCCGATCACAAGTCTATTTTTGGATTGGATGGTCCTAGGAATTATTGGAAAAAGAGGAGCCCATCCGATTGAAGAGACATGAATTGTAACGGAATTAACGGTAGAGATGGTTACTCTACCAACTACCAAGTACTGTAGTCAGTACTCCTAATTCCTAATTTTATGATGAGTAATAAGTGATTGTATTTTACCGTTGATAAAATCTTGACCGAAGAAGGGCAAATTCGGAATTTTGTATTGTTCACAAGACGTAGGCGCGTAGCGTAAAGATAGACGAGTCCGAAATTTTGTAAACAGTTGTTCATCGAGGTTTTCTATTTCCAAATTAGGACTCAAAATCAACTCAGCTCATGTATATGTATCATCATCTCTTTCYCTCCGGTGCAAATAACAAACTAGTCTTTCGATTGATTCCTTCGGCAGAAATAAAACTTTGATTTTCTCATTCTGAAACTCTCAAAACCCTAGCTCTCGCATTCTGTCTCGCTCTCTCGCAATCTTTCTCATTTTTTCATTCTCACTGTTCTGTCTTGAACTTGTAGTCAGTCAGAGTAATCGTGATCAGTCTACAATTCTTGATTGCGCAATGGGTCGTAGAAGGATCAAGATCGAGAAGATTGAGTGCAAAGAAAAACTTAATGTATGTTTTTCGAAGCGAAGAACGGGATTGTTCAAGAAAGCGAAGAAACTAGATGATCTCTCCGGTTCCAAGACTGCGACCATCATCTTCTCTCCCGCTGGTAAAGTTTTCACGTTCGGCGATCCGGTAGTCGACTCCTTAATCGACCGCCACCTCCTCCTTCATCACCATCAACCGCAACTTCTTAACCAAAGCAGTGTAGCCATTGAAGATGATAACGGAAAAGTTGATTTGAACGATTCTGAAGATCGGATGCGAGAAATCGAATCTTTGTTGATGAGAGGCAAGGAGAATGTAATGAAACGTGTATTGGAGCAACAACAGAAACAGCTTGCTGTGCCTTCTTCTTCTTGCTTTCAGTCAGCCTTGCTTCCGAATGAATCATTATCTGGAATTTCGTTTTATTCGTCAAGCTCATCACTGGAAACTTTTGGCGTTAACGGTTTTGAGAATCCGGTTCAACTCGAGCAACCTGAATCAGCGAGCGCAGGTGTTTCATCTTCTTCTTTGGGGGGGTTTGGCGCAGTAGGTTGTGAAGCTCAACCTGAACGAACCGAGTTAGAATTCGCAACGGACCCAGTATTGCAACCCGATTTGTTTTTTGACATTGACGAGTTACTGAAGACCTTGTCTGACCCGCTTACACCGGAAGAACCCACCGATTTGAACATTGATCATCACCAACAACAGCAGCTTGGCCAAGGATTTAAGAATGGCGGAATCTTGTCTGAATCGGCCGCAGAGAATACACTGCTCTTACTCCACCATTGCAGTCTTGGGGCGTGAATATCTCTCAGGAATCTCTTTGATATTTGCCCAGTCGCACGATCGACCTGATGAAACTTAATTTAATTAACACTGCACGGCTGTACTATCAAATTGGTTATATATATGCTATGTAAATTTTATTTTAATTTCCTTTTCTTGGTCAGTATCATAGAATTGTTGTGAGAATTTCTTTTTCATGTTCTTTACTTTTTTAACCTGTTAATGGGCCGGGCCGGGCTTTTTACTCTTCATAAAGAGGATTTTGTTAGGCCCGAACCCGAGGGCCTAAGCCCGAAGCCCGACTTTACAGAAGAAAGGACACACCATCGCTGAGTTCGCGTCAGAGAGAGAGAGAGAGAGAGGGGACTCACCGCCGCCAGTAACTGTATTCGCTGCCTCGCCGGTGTTTGAGTTCGTGTTTGAGATTTGAGAGAGAAGAACTGAGAGCTGAGAAGAGGAACGAGAGAGAAAGAGAGAGAGAGAGAGAGAGGACTCACGCCGATCTATTGGAGTTTACTGGTTGCGCCGATGAGTGTTTGCCGATTCTGTATTTACCTGAGAGTGTGAGGTTGTGAGTCACTGTGAGAATTGAGAAGAGGTTCAACAAGAAAGATATGAATCAGAAGAGGGGTTAGGATATTAGGGTTTTTTGGTTTAACCTATAGGTCAGGCCGGGTCGGGCTCGGGCCGTGCTTTTTTAACAAATCCCGAGCCCGGCCTGCAACATAGTCGGGCACGGGCTTTTAGGCCCAAGGTCAAGCCTGCTGGCCCAAATGTGTGTTCAAGTCTATCCGGGGACCGATCTGGCCCGTTGGGCTACCTGGCCCATGAACAGGTCTAGTTGATTGCAATAACAAGTTTCTATGAATCAATGTTTTAAAAACTGATTCAGAACCTGAACCGCTTTGACCATCGGTTTTTAGGTCAGTGATTTGATTATTCGAATCAAATTGATGGAGTTTTCTAATTAAAAAATAAAATGTTAGAAAATAATTAAAATAAAAAACAATAAAAAATCATCGATAGTTTGACGATTTGACTACCTAGGTCAACGAGTTATTGACCAAGTCAACGTTGTTTGATCTAGGAACAGATTAAGGATGAAACAATCCCGGATTAATAATGATTTGAAAACACTGCAACAAATAGCATGGAAGTAGAGTGAGGAACAATTAGCAATTTAGCACTCCAAATCTCCAACTATCATTAGATCTTGGATAGAAGGAAGTTTTATGGGAAAATCTATGATGCAGAAAAAATATGGTATGAGAAGAGTTTTGATCAATCATAACCTAACCATGAATTTTGATAAATAACACCTGATGGGGTACAACATTTATGATTTCAGTTGACTGGTTAGAAGTTTATCAGATATCATATCTTTTCCATAGCATAGTCCAACCCAAGTTTTATTATTGGCGAATGTAAAACAATTGACTAATGTATTGTCATCAAGAAGTATTGTCAAAGGGAGTTCGACTTCCATCAACGCCCGTTCGAGCAGGACTTGCATTGAGAATATCTCCCTATTCATGTACTTTATTTTATGTGAAGATATTCCTGCAAGAGGCTGTTGGGACGTTGTGGGCATGAGCTTGCCTGGACCGAAGCCGATCTTTGTTGAAGTGTGGTCCCAGAAACTTATGCTCGATCAATCTCATTATTTTTAATTGTTCATATATAAATAGGCAATGTAATGAATTATCACATGCATGGTTTTCAAAACCAGACTGTCGAACTAGAAAAAATGGGAATTAGTCATCGTATCGATTTCATTTTACCCCATAATCATCATTTTGGCCAAAAACCATTGATTTGGTTAGCAAACTGCTGATTCGGGAGGTTAAATCGTTTGAATCGTGTAACATTTTTAGCTATTTTTAATTTTCTAATTTTTGTCAAAACGGGCTGCCTATTCAATTTAGACAACTAAACCGTTCAACCTAGAAACCAGACCCTAAATGGTTCGTTATCTGGTTCACTTTTTAAAACCTTGACCTCATGTATTAGCTTATAAAGCATGTAAAGGGACAGGTGACATTTATATTGACAGCACCCAGGGGGATATGTGTTTTCAAATTTGTATTGTATGCCTTATTAACATGGGTTTTAAAATTGGACTGGATCGGACGGTCGGACCAAAAAAACTGGGAATCAGTCACTTGATCGGTTCCGTTTTTCCTCAAAACCGATTTTTTTCTCCAAAATCGTTGATTTTGGTTAGCAAATCGCTGAACAAATCGATTAACCGTTTGAAAGGTTTTGACTGTTTTTCAGTTTTTTTAATTTTTTTTTTTGTTAGAACAGAATGGCCATTTGGGTCGAATGGTCGGACCATTCAACCCAGTAACCGAATCCCTGACCAGTTCGGTTGCTTATTAACCAACTAGTTTTGGATAAAAAATAAAAAACTAAAAAAAGAGATAAGTTGACTACACTCCACCTCAGATAAGTTGACTGCACCCAAAGGAATCGAATCTGTAACATATTTGCAGGTGTCTTGTGGGACGCTTGCGGATAGCGTTATGGTGACAGATCTAGACTCTTTGACTCCGAAGTCCGAACCCATGTTGTATTGGGTTGATAAAGTAATCAAAGTAATCAAGGCCTCAATAAAAAATAAAAAATAAAAAATAAAAAAAAAGTTGGCCAGGCTCAGGTTCGAGGTTTTTGTCTCTGGGTTACGCCTGGATTGTCACTTACCCCAGCCCAACCCTTAATAAGTTCCAGTCTTATGAAACAAGAATTCAGCAGTTTAATGGCTCAAGTTTGAGGGTACTTACAGTTTGGTTAATCAAATCGTGGGCTACTTTTTGGAATTGAACTGGTATTATTGGTTTTTAGAATATTGGTAATTGAAACTGAACCAAAGCCAATCAGTTAACTGGTTGATTGATTCGATTCATTGATATTTTGGTTTTTCATATTTATAATATATTATAAAAAATATATAAAGATATAATAAAAAATCAGAAATATATATATATATATAATATTATATTTTAAATAATAAATAATAAATAATGTATTATATATTATATAATATAAATATATATTTTATATATAATGCATATTTATTAATTTATAATGTATAGAAAATATTAAATATATATAATATACATAAATATACCTAAAAACTATAGAAATATATGTATATCGGTTGGTTCGGTTAACCACTGATTTTCTATATTGGTTAACCAAAACCAAACCGATACCTTCAGTTTTTTAAAAACACCAAATCAATTGGTTCGATTAACTAGATTTTTGGTTCAGTTTCGTTCGGTTTTCTAGTTTGATTCGGCTTTTTGGTTTTTCTTGCTCATCCCTAGCTCAAGCTAATGCAATACTTATTTTTCATCTACCACACAAATTCCAAACTTTGTTTATTCTTGCATCTCCACATTGAAAGATTAAGAATGGCAATGGAGCAAGGTGGGGCCAGGTTTCGTATGTCCAATCTTTGACTCCCAACCCTATCAGGCCTAGAAATCCTAACCCCATCCCTTTCCCCATGGGGAATGGGGATCCTAGAATTTGCCCGTCATTCTTGCTTTCATACTTATAAGTGTATTTATTTATTTGAGACATATCTATAATTTTGTATTATATAATATAAACCCCAATCAGTATCAAAAAAACCCACCCCTAGATGGGATGAGGCACCCAAAGGAATTGTCAAATTGCCATCCCTAACTAAGAACATACAGAAAGTCAACAAAAATATAACTCCTCATTTTTACAGCAATGAAGGAGATCCAATGCCTTTTGAGAATATGGAGCTCTTTCCACTATATTCTGATATTTAAGTCATTTGACTCAGGCTAACACATGACATAGAAGCTATAATAAGGTTTTGCACAATCCAAAATCAATTCTCCCTTTAACCTTTTTAAAATACATTTGAAGGCAATTGGAGCTAAACCAACTTGCCTCAACTACCTTGTTAAAATTATTAGAGATCAAAATTAATAAGTTACAACTTTTCCATCAATAATTACATGGGGATGTAACTCAGGTGGTAGAGCGCTCATTTAGCATCTCCATTTCAATAAAATTTTAAAGTGCCGAGAAAAATTTAGGGTTTAAAAAATGAGTTTTCCCGTTTTCCCATTACAATTATTATTCTTCTCTTTTTTACTTTATAAAAAGTTACAAGTCTTTTCTTGGGCTAATTATTAGGAGTTTGCTTACATAGTTACATATATTGAGTGTAAAGTATATATGTAACGCATGTTAGTGCGTACAACACAAGCAAGCACAATTTGCTTGTTCATGACTATAGTAGAGGGTCACCATAAGGAGGTTTTATCAGATTGTTCAGTTTTCCTTTTGTGCACTCCAACAGCCAAGACTTGATTAAGTGTATTAAGATATAAATTTGATGTTTCTATCATATATGTTAACATCAATCCTATGCATGTGTGTTATCTGATGTGATGTGAAAAGATAATTTTTCAAAAATTTATACTAATAATCCCAAAGGTTTTTAGTATAAATAGCAATGATACCAAACACAACCATAATATTCCATATATGTGGTCTACAGTACTTTAAGGCATGCAACAAACATATGTGAATACTCAGAATTGCTCGAAAGTTTAAACCATCTAATTCATGGAGTTAAGGTTTAGGGCATATTTATTTCCACTTAACTTTTATCTCTTAGGGGATGTTCTTTTTTTTGGATTTGAAGAGGGAGAAAGTTGGTCAATAGAATTTTGCTTAAAAATTTAAAYCATCTAATTCATGAAATTAAGCTTTCCACTTTAATTCTTATCTCCAAATTGAGCCTAAGCATTTAATTTAGAGATTCCAATTATGTCTTTATAGTTTCAAATGATGTTCGTCGGTTCTAATAAAGTTGGTAAAGGACACATGTGAATTACACTCTTCTCGATCATTTATTGAAACTTTGGAAAGTGCTCACGGTGAAATGTCGTTGCATATGTTAAGCTAAAATAAACTAATGTAAGAAGACTTGTGTCTGACTGCATTGCTAATTCCATTTTGTATAAAAC